AAACATTAGTGCAGTTTTTATGAAGAAATCAATTACATTTTGTCTAAATACAGTACAATACAAATGCACTTGGGAGCATATTTATTTAATCTGTAATGAATTGTTAAGTGCATATATTGATGACTTTTCTTCTCATATTAGTTAAGATGTCTTATTGTCACCTATTTTCAACCCAGTATTTTGATAGATAATAGCTCCAGTATTACCTGTCAAAACATTGTTAGGTGAAAAGATACTAAATTTGCTGCAGAAGCTCTGCAAAACAAATGGAAAACTGTCTTTATCACAATCACATAAAACTCCACTGCATAGCCTGTATTTTTCTGAAACACCTTTATGCATTTCACACAGATGAACACTGTTTTTCATTTTATTTGCTTGTTACCTACTGCTGTGCACATACTCTGTCTACATAGCTAAGACAGAGTACATGGCTCTGCCTTAGCTATGAGGGCAGCTATGTCAGATATCAGTTCTTATTCTTCAATCAACAAATGAAGATTTATTAAAAATGTTAGTAATGATGTGTGCATTGCAGTCATAATAATTTAGGGTTCTTCCCAGGCCTGCCTTTGTGCTTTCCATGCTTATAACAAGACAGAAATCTTTGGTGGCCTGAAGTTTGTTTCAAAGCCATTCTTACCATGCAGTCCCAAGGTACAATTACACTTTCACCATGCTTATTCAAATGTTTTTGTTCCTACATATTTCACTATTGCCATCTCAATATTGAGACAGGATACATGACCTTTCTACTGGGTTTGTCTTTATCTTTCCCTTCCCAGGGAAAACTCAGCTTTTAAACCTTGATAAAGAAGATGACTGTTCTATGTTTTTATTTTTATGTACTCTTGTTTTATAACCTTGATGATGATGTCCGCTTCCTTACAGTCAAATAAGTGTCTGCATCAGGCTAACAGAGTGACACAAATTTCCTCATGTATTCACTTAGTCATTTGCAAATGTGAATGAAGCTGGTGGCATCAGGACAAAAATTAAAACCTTCGTCACCACTATAGAAGTCCAGAATCTAGCTCACATTTGAATAATTGCCAGGGTCATTATAATGTCAGTTAGCTTTAAACTGATAGGAGTATTTTAACAGAAGATTCTAATCCTGGGCACTATGGTCCCACCACAAAAAATACTGCCAGTGAAGTTAAGAAGGAGGTGTTTCTATCAGTTCCAATAGATTATTTAAAACAAGGAATTATTTAAAATGAGTAATTGCATAGCAAAGAAGAAAAGGATTGAATTCTCTTTCAAGTGGATGATCTACAACAATTTCCTACCCTAAAACAGGAGGCATAACTAAATGTTTCCTGTTTCAGGCAATATTATCTTTTGCTATAATGTGAGATTCTCTATCTTCATCTGATCATTCACATCATTCACCCAAGTTGTCAGAACATTCAGTTAATTCAGAGGATCTGACTGAACAAAAAGGAGAATGTGCATTGCTGGGGGCACAGGAGAAGACAGAGAAGCGGGGAAGAGAGGTATCACATGTTAATGCTTTATAGCTTTCCTTAGTGTAACACACAAGTATTTTATTATTTTTTTTCAATCTCTAATTTGCAGCCTTCAATAAAGTTCTTCTATTTCACTTAGATTAAACTCATGCATGTGACAAAAATGCTACCAACACCGTTCCACGCACTGCCAGTGTGTATAATCCTTTTTGATATAAATTACGTGCACAGTAGCTGAATGATGGGGCTGACTTTCTCTCTCTAGTCTGATTTAGGTCAAATGAGATTCAGGTGATGACATTTCATAGGAAACCAATAAAGTGTGAAAGGTTATAAGTGAAAGAGATTCTGTTTTCCTACAGCTTCCTGCCAGGCAAACAAATGGATAACGAATTCACTCTAACATCTTCATTTGACGAACTCAGTTGTAAAATATGTACATCCTCAAAGCAGAAGTTATTCAGACATCTAACACATGCAAATGAACTAACTTTCTGCAGATGCAATTAAAATCCTCATCTTTATCTGTGCAGTCCAGGTTAAAAAGGCTGTAGGACTACATAATGAAAAAAGCAAGCTAAACAGAAATGACGACATGGAGATGGAAAGCAGATGAAGTCCCCGAGAGAAATGATCGTGCCTTGCAGCAGAAATAATGATCAGGCTGCCAAGACACAAAAGCAATCAACATGGAATGAAAGGAAGAAGAGAAACAAAATTAGCAAAGATCAACTCTAATGGTATGTAACAGTGTTTGTATTTCATTTTTGAAATTTCACTTTGTCTCCTGCTTTGAGGATATGCTGTATAAAATAGATGGCATGAGAAAAAATAACAATAAGATGTTGTCATTTTATTATTTTCCCACACAGGGATTGCCACTGTTATGGCACCATCAATACCATTAATTACATTACATGTAGGTACTGTATTAGAAGAGGGAACGGGTATGCCATATTCACAGAATTGCAGACTCTAAGATTGAAGATGAATTATGTACTGTATAGAGGGTCTATAATGGTCCACATTGAGTGCATCAAACTCACTTGACCTATGAACACAGAATGAGCTAAATTATGCATAAAAATATGCAAGCATAAGCACTGAATACACACAAAATCCATTGACTAGATTGTCTGGTCTCTCATTATGCTTAGCAAACATACTGCTACTGAATGCTAATCACTAAATAGTGATTACCATTCTGATCAGTCATTTTTTAGGGTGTAAACAGCAAAGGCTAGAGTTAGCTTAAAACTCCGCTAAGCAACTATTGAAGAGAATGAGCAGAATTTCATTTAGTTACATCAAAACATCTTTCTAAACAGTGGCTATATGTGGCCTGCAGTATTAAGATAAACTCTTCAGTATTGAGTACTCCTTCTGCAATGGGTGGCTTATTAGGATTGGATTTTTTCTTAGCACTGATTCTAGTTAGCAGAAACTTTATTATATAAGAAGTAATTAGTGAAGAAATGGGCAAAATTTCATTTGCTTAATTCCAAACAACTGTCAGTGCCTAGACTAGACAAGGCCTGTAGACTCAAGATAAAATGAAAATTTCAATGAAACTACTCTCTGCTGTGTGCTAATCGCCATCAGGTATGTACAGGCAGTGGTGGTAATGAAGGTTGAATTTACATGTGGAAAGTGATTCTATAATTAGAATACTATACAGAGCTTTATCTGAAAAAAAAAATCCAGCTCTATTTTAGAAAAGTGATTAAATATGTAAGAAGAATAATGATATACATGTACTTTGATAAGCCTCTAGAAAGGAATGACTTGCCAAGAGGCTGAAAAAGTTATGTAATCATTACAATTATATGTACCCAAGTATGTGAAAAAAAAGCCCATCAGTACAATACGGTACTGCATTATGCTTTACAGTGCATTCCTCCCTCTTCCAAGCTTACTCATACAAAAACATTTTCATATGGAAATGGAGCTCATCAATAAGTTACTAAAATATCAACTATTATCCGTTTATCTCTGTAAGATACTTTTTACTGACTTAAAATCTTTTCTGGAAAATAAATCTCCTCTCCTCCTCCCTAGTCATTTTCTCTTTCTGAACTGTTCTTGATCCTCTGTATTTATGGCATTTTTTTTTAAATATGTTGCACAGCACTTGTAGGTACTTACCCCTTCACACAAGATCCCAAGACAGTGTACCACCGAATGCCATGGCAGTATTTTCCTTGTTATTTATCTCCTGGACTTATACTTGCAAACACTGATGCTGTTATGGAAGGTTCCCAAGGGAAGAGATTGCCACTGATACAAAAATTACCCCTTTTTTCTCTTGTTTCCTGATTTCTACATTTGGTTGTAGCTTCTGGTTTACACTACAGGTCTCATTACGGTGTTTGCAGAAAGCTTGGCAATGAACCAGCCATGTAGTCCCTTGAGTCCACATGGTTGAACACTAACCCATGTAGCAGTCAATGCATGCTCCCAGCAACAGTAACAGCATCATAAGCAGGAAGAACCCAGGAGGAGCTGGAGTGTATCTTGACATAAAACACAGTTATTGTAAAAAGATATGATGAGGCAACCCCCTGCTCTACTGGAGATTGTGCGGAGGGCTTGCCTTTCTGCAAGCACAGACTTGCCTTTCTGACTGGCCACTAAGAAGGGTTTTTTTCGTTTCATTTTTCTCACCATCTCTTTTTCTTTTTTTTTCCACTCTTCCTCTCCTTCCTCCTCCAACAACATCCATCATTTCCACCAACTGGTGAATGCTACCAAATACAGACCTTCTAGTGAATCTTCATACAACACAGTGATCTGTTACTACTCTATCACATTACTTATTATGTAACAATAAAGCATTATTACTTTTGTTTTCTCTTCACATATGGCACGTCTTTTATTACGGAACTTCTACTACTGTGCTTTATTGCATGTATCCTTGTGTTTTAGTCCTTCATTTCCTAATTTTACTTTGCCCTGTAAAATCTGAGATACTACAGATGAATTTATATTCTATTACTGCAGTGCAATTGTAGAGTTTTCCTAGCATCCCACATGTGCTTTTAAAAAAAAAATCTTAGGTTTCTTAAGGAAATGCAAATCCTTAATTATCTTAAGTCAAGATTAATCTATACCTTATAAAAGTAAAAGTGAATTCTGTTGACAGACATTAACTTCCTCATAACAGGACGATACAGTCATATTCTTGGTACTACAGAGGTAGTAACATTTTCAATCACCTTTTAATATTCCCAGTATGACTGAAACAGGGAAAAAACCCCAACATATCATTGTGTATCAAGAGATTTCAAGTTTTTCAGACTACAAAAAGCCCTGTAAAATTAGTGACATGACTTTGTAATTTCACAATGGAACTAGCACTTCCTACATAAGTGATTTTCATAGTATGGGCACTTTTAACTGATAGCAACCTAAAAAAAAAAGAAATCAGTTTTTTCTGCATAGGCAGGAGGCATACATGAAAGAAATAAAAATCTTAGATAAGTGATTACTCAGGTACAATATTATTAACACTGTATATGCTTTCCTTACCCGGGACCTCTCCTCCAGTTTTGTCATCATGACAACAGTTGCACCCCGTTGCTCCCACATCATTCTCCAGAAGTCACCAAAGGTTTCTGGCAATGCCCCTTGTGTTGCTATATAAGCATTCTGCTTTCTGTATCCATCTATGTAGTTGGCATTGATATAGTCACTGCCTGGTATGCCTGCAAAGAGAGAAGAGTGAAAACATAGGGCAAATTTTTGTGCTGTCCTATTGTACAACAGCTAAAATATCCTGTAACCCAGCTGGATCACCAAAACATAGGTTGCTGCACGCCAAATAGTAAATGGGTACCAGCAAGTGAGTATGCCATTTGTGGAGCTAAGGGGTATGATATTTTCTCTGGGAATAACCATTTGTTTGAAACTAAAGGCTCTGTCTAATAAGGAGGTATAAAAGAAGACTGAAAATCTGTAGCAGATAGAGAGACCTGGGAGTGGAAACAGCAGCACTGAAAAGCTGGTCTGACACTGCCTGCAGTCACCCACCAATATGGCAGCCTCTGCCTGGGCCATACAGTAAAGTCTCTCTCTCAGATGCCTAGAGTAGGCTCTGTTTAACTCTCTTGTTGAACTCACTGTATTTCTTTTAAACATAAGATACGTATTTATGTTGTCATAATATTAATAATACTTCTACATTCATTTTTCCCATTAAATGAGAAGTTAACTATGAGCTTTGTTGTAACAAAACACATTATGTAAGTCAGGTTGAAGAAACAGTGGAATCTGCTGTATGGTGTGTGCATGAAGTGAAGACCTCTTCAACCCTGAATAAAAAATTAAGCATGTGAAAAGAAGGTGGAATCCAAGACCTGTGGGCACAGTGGACCTACACTGTCAGTTCCTTGAGGCTCAGGTATTTTGGACAAGACTTACAGAGGCACTTTGGGCATCCCTATCAGACACATGTCCATGCTTTAAGCCACATGGAAGTGAGCTAGCTCCTAAATGGAATCTATTTAACTAAGCCTGTTCAGTGCCATGTGTGTACTGAGAACTTGGTGATAACATGCTGTTTGCCACGGTCGAGAAGTATTTTCTTAGTAAAGATTGTGTTACTAGTGTGGACAAATAAGGCAACCATGCTCACAGAAAGGGGTAAGTATGGATATACAGGTCTCAGTACTGTCCTGCCTGGATTCAGCAGTGCAGGACATGTGTCCTGCTTTCAACTAAGACCATGGGCATACTGGAAGACAAAGCATGGCAAGCACCAGTTCTGATGTCGCTTATGCTCTAACTGATGACTTGAAGAGAAGATACTCATGTGAAATCTCAGTGCTGGTGGGATGGCAAAGCAGTGTTTCACACATTACTGCAGTGTTGAACATGGAAGTGCTCCCCAGCAGAGTCAGCTCAAGTACTGAACTGTGCATCATAATAAAATGATACAAAAGGTTTGTTAAAGTGATTAACAGAAGTCACTTCTTTGAGCAGAAATGAACAATTTCTGTTCACACAGCCAATCTGTCATGCCCATATCTACAACCCCAGGATACAGTGCAGGTTCCACAAATTGTTTAAAAGAGTCAAGGTGATATAAGTTCCCTAGCTTATTCTAAAGCCATGATTATTTTTACTCCACCAAGCAATAAAGTTGTTTTTTTTTTGGCTATGAAACACAACACACTATTGACTAAATTTAAAGAAATATTTCTCAAGTCAGAAATTGAACCTCCAAATCTATTCTGACGTTCTATCTTGTGCTGGTGATCCCAAATCAGGAATAATGGGGGCTGCACATTCCTACATTTCCTGACAGCCAGTGGCATACCTCTAAAAAATCTGAAAACTAAGTCTTGCAGCATCAGTGGGGGTTCAAAATATTTTGCATTTGAATGGAAAATAGGGGTACCTCTTTAACGCTTTTTTGTTGTTGTTTGTGATACAACTCGAAGAGTTTCTCCACTCATTCTGGGTAAGCTTAGTACTTCATTCCACTACTTAGGAATGAACAAACCCACTGATTCACTGTGACACTAATTAAGACCCAAGATGATTTTGAAATTATTCAGGTTATGGGTTATTGCAGTTGTAGTCTGGAATAAAATTTTCCCTTTGTGCCCAAGAAAGCTTAATAGATTTTCTTGGTTTATATGCCCAAGCTATATTTAAACACAAATTTTAATTTGATTTGACTTTCTGTACAATTGAAGGAAAAATGTGACAAAGTATTTCAGGGAAGGACAGAATTCGTAATTTCAGGGGCACCAGAGAGGCAGCAAATGTACTCCTTGGGCAACATGCATGGATGGGCACAGGAAGACTGGTTGACTATGTCTGGAGCTGATTGAAAGTATTTTCTGGGAGAAAAACTAAACAAAATTAAAAAACCTTTAACACTGCACAGTTTATAGTTGAAAAGCATGATTTCCCTCCAAGAAAAGCAGAAATTGGGGTTCAAAAGATTCCTGCTTGTAGACCAAAAGCTTTTTTACATGATACTTTTTACTGTGGATATTGGAATTAATGACTTAGAAAACACAACTGCTTAGCACAATGCCATATTTTCTTCCTTTATCAAGAGAATAAAAACATTGTTGCACAAAACAGATGAGAAAGAAAAATGAAATCAACAGGAGAAGTCTATATCAACTGGGTATTATTACCAAAGGAACAGAGAAAGTTGGTAAGAAATGCTTTCTGCATAAATTAGAATTATATTATGATGCTTAGTATCACACTTTGAAGCATATGTTATAAATAAAAGCCTGAGGAAAAAAAGAAAAAGAAAAACAACACTTTGTAAAGTGGTTAAATGATCTTCTGGGAAAGCTGGCCTCTGGAGCTGATACTGCACAAATTCAGTATGAAAATTAAGCCTGAGAAGTATTGCTGTGTACTAAAGAACAATCTTTATAAATCTCAGCTGCCACTCCCAGTACCTAATATAAAAAAAATCCTGAATCTCTGCAATTGCAAATACTATTCTTACTAACAAAAACCCAAAATAAATTAAAATAAATTAAAAATAAATAAAAAATAATTCTAACTTAGAAACAAATTCTTTAAATTAGAATGAATAAAAGCTTTCACATTATATATTCCTGGATCACAGATTCAAGTAAGAAAGAATTATGATTAACAATTACTGATATTTGTAAAGAAGATTTCTTTCTAGCTAGGTTAAAGTGGAAATTTCCACCCTATTTCTCCACTCACCTTTTACCAACAGAACATAAAACATCCTGTATGTTCTTTAGCCAGAAAAATCCTTTAACAAGGCAACTTGGCCTCAGTGGCACAATAAACAGGACTTGGCTGGGACATGGACAGGAAAGTCTAATTACCACAGGACCTGAGCAACTGTTAGTGACTTAACTAATGGAGTTTTAGGACAAACTAGGTGCTGCTCCAACACTTTGCACTGCAAGATTTTCATCAAGGGTTTATCTCTAGCAGAATACAGTACTGTATAGGGTTATATCTCCACTGAGATCAACAGAAGGATAGGATTCAGAATGCTCAGCTATACGGTCTCTCTCTCACGCACAGTATCCATTGTATGTTTTCTTTGTTCTCCATTCTCACAGTTCCTTCAAGTATCATATACTCATTTCTCAGACGGTCTCTCTTCATCGCTGTTTTCATGTATGGCCTCAGTTTCACATTCTGTTCCCAAATCTTTTGTATTCTATAATACCATTTTTCCACTTTCACTTTCTTTCTCACACTTTGCCGCACCAGCTTTGCGTTATCAGATGCGTCCCACGTTCCATAAACTCCACAATCCATAAAGTCCTCTAGGGAAGGTACCTTATCATAAAAGGCCTAATGAAGTGTATACACTTTAAAAATAACATACAGAAAACCTGAACACCTGTTAATATCTACACTGACAAAGAAGAAACAATTGTGAAAGGCAAATGGTCTTTTCTCATTCTGAGCTGAGAAAGGTAAACAATTTTCTGTCAAGTCTAATAGTGAAAAAACAATTTTACTAGTTTGACTGTAGTACAGTGAAATCCTGCAAACCTTTGTTAGCTGCCATAGCTTGAAGGAAACATACCCATAAGCACAGCAGCAATCGCCATCATTACTTAAATTTGGGTTTAATAGTTAAGAGAGGTTAACAGGTAAAAACATGGGTCAAGAAGGGGACAAAACAACCAAATCTTACCTTCAGTAATATTGACATGAGCCTTAATTAAGTCTGTTGGCATCAGTGGGGTTTATTGCAGATTTCCAATAGCATACCTGAAGTGTATATTTAGGATAACCCGTGCAGTGTAACCTGACTTTTACAAATTTAATGAAGGCAGAGACACAGTTTCTGCACAAAAAGTCAGCTAAAGACCAAGCTTCCAAATCATAATTCTACTATAACTACTTTCTAGTAGCCTTTCCAACTATGGTGATGAATGACCAGAGTCTGCAGTCTCCTTATTCTGTCAGACAGAATTGAGTACATTGGAGGAAGAATCAGATGAGTCGTTAAGCATAAAAGACATCCTATTTTCGAATATCGCAAGGGAACAAAGCAGTCCAGATTTTGCAGGGTAGGAGTGAATAAGCAATGAAACAAAACTGACCAATGCCACAATTAAAGAGCAAAAAATTAAAAATATTAACACTATAGCTCCTGATATGGTGAGATGTATTAATGAACTGAGATGACAGTACAGTTTGCTGCAACACAGACTCAGATCCAAAAGGCTAATAATGTAGACAGCAAATTTATTCACTTGATTTCCTGAATACAGTTATAATCTTAAATAGGTTTAATTAGACTTTACATTTTATTCACAAACTGAAATCAAATCATGAAATTATTTCAAGCCTTTACAAAGGCTAAGCACTGAACAGCCTTTCTATTTAAAACAAATTAAACCATAAACTTTTACTTCTGTGCTGCCTTCCTAAAAAATGTACCTTTAATCAGAAAAAGTGTGTGAAGTAATAGGATTTAACTCGGTCATGCTTGTAAACAAGTTGGAAAAATGCAGTGATGAACTCAAAATGCTGGTGAAGCTGTGCTATTGGTTTAAATCAATGACTGATGCTTTCAACTATGTCAGGGCAAAAATGAGCTAAAGCAGCTACTAGATGCCAGTAACAACTATTTATGTGGAAGTTGCTGCAACATAAAATCTATATAGTTAAGGAGATTATCAAGTTCAAATGGTCTAAGACAAATCTGTATGCTAAGAACTAGTGAAAA